AGAAAAGAAAAAAAAAAGGAAAGAAGGAAGGAAAGAGGGAGCAAAGGAAGGGGAAGATGTAGAGAAAGAGGGAGGGAAGGAAAGAAGGAAAGAGAGAAGGAAGAAAAGAGAAGAAGAAGGAAAGAGAAAAAAAGGGAAGAGGAAAGAAATACAGAAAAGGAAGAAAGAGGGAGGGAAGGGGAAAAAAGAAAGAAAGAAAGAAGGAAAGAAAGGAAGAAAGAAGGAAAGGGAAGGAAGCATGGAAGCAAAGAGAGAAGGAAGGAATGAAAGAGGTAGAGAAGGAAGAAGAGAGAAAGAGAAAGAAAAAGGGGGAAAAAAGGAAGGAAGGAGAGAAGGAAAGAAAAATGGGAAAGAAGGAAGGAAAGAGGGAAGGAAGGGGGACGATGTAGAGAAAGAGGGAGGGAAGGAAAGGAAAGGAAGAAGGAAGGAAGGAAGGAAGAAGGAAGGAAAGGAAGGAAGGAAGGAAGAAGGAGAGAAGGAAGAAAGGAGGAAAAGAGAAGGAGGGAAAGAAAAGGGGAAGGAAAGGAGGAAAGAAAAAAGGGAAAGAAGGAAGGAAAGAGGGAGAGAAGGAAGGGGGAAGATGTAGAGAAAGAGGGAGGGAAGGAAAGAGAGAGGAAGAGAAAGGAAAAGGGGGGAAGAAAGTTAAATGACAATACAGAAAAAGGGAAGAAAGAGGGAGGGAAGGGGAGAAAAAAGAAAGAAAGAAAGAAAAGAGGGAAAGAAAGAAGGAAAGGGAGAAGGAAGCATGGAAGCAAAGAGAGAAGGAAGGAAAGAGGTAGATAAGGAAGGAAGGAGAGAAAGGGAGGGAAAGAAAAAGGGGGAAGGAAGGAAAGTTAGAGAAGGAAGGAGAGAAGGAAAGAAAAAAGGGAAAGAAGGAAGGAAAGGGGGAGCAAAGGAAGGGGAAGATATAGAGAAAGAGTGAGGGAAGGAAAGAAAAAAAGAGAAGGAAAGAGAGACAGCAGAAGAGAAAGAAAAAGGGGGAAGAAAGCTAAATGACAATACAGAAAAAGGGAAGAAAGAGGGAGAGAAGGGGAGAAAAAAAGAAAGAAAGAAAAGCAAGGGGGAAAGAAAAAAGGGAAGGGAGAAGGAAGCATGGAAGCAAAGAGAGAAGGAAGGAAAGAGAGAAGGAAGAAAGAAGAGAAAGGGAGGGAAAGAAAAAGGGGGAAGGAAGGAAAGTTAGAGAAGGAAGGAAGGAGAGAAGGAAAGAAAAAAGGGAAAGAAGGAAGGAAAGAGGGAGCGAAGGAAGGAAGGGGAAGATGTAGAGAAAGAGGGAGGGAAGGAAAGAAGGAAAGAGAGAAGAGAAAAGGAGAGAAGAAGAAAGGAGAGAAAGAGGGAGGGGAAGAAAAAGGGGGAAGGAAGGAAAGAGAAGGAAGGAGAGAGGGAAAGAAAAAAGGGAAAGAAGGAAGGACAGAGGGAGCGAAGGAAGGGGGAAGATGTAGAGAAATAGGGAGGGAAGGAAAGAAGGAAAGAGAGAAGGAAGGAAGGAGAGAAAGAGGAAAGAAAAAGGGGGAAGGAAGGAAAGTTAGAGAAGGAAGGAAGGAGAAAAGGAAAGAAAAAGGGAAAGAGGGAGCGATGGAAAAGGAGAAGATGTAGAGAAAGAGAGAGGGAAGGAAAGAGAGAAGGAAGAAAACAAACAGAAGAAGAGAAAGAAAAATGGAGAAGGAAGGAAAGAGATCAAGAAGGAAGGAAGAAGAGAAGGAAAGACAGGAATGAAGGAAGGAAAGAAGGAGAGAATGAGGGTAGGTTGGCCACAGCAACGTGTGGCGGGTACAGCTAGTAGAATGCTAGAATCCTAGAACGCTAGAGTTGGAAGAGACCTGCTGGGCCTTCATCCAGTCCAACTCCATTCTGCCAAGAAGCAGGAATGTTGCATTCAAATCACCCCTGACAGATGGCCATCCAGCCTCTGTTTCAAAGCTTCCAAAGAAGGAGCCTCCACCACACTCCGGGGCAGAGAGTTCCACTGCTGAACAGCTCTCACAGTCAGGAAGTTCTTCCTCATGTTCAGATGGAATCTCCTCTCTTGTCTCATCTATGGCAAACATTCAATGCCATTATACAACTGGCAACAAAGGCAGACAGTACACAGGCAGAGGCAAGGCTTCCCTCTTATTCATTTCCGGCATTGGGAGGCTGTGCTCAACTTGGCCATGCGGAGGGAGGGGCTCTTGTTCCATTTTCCACGCCAAGGATCCTGTTGCCGATGGAGGTCTTCCTGGTTGAATTGCTGGCATGTCTTCGGGGGTGCCTTTTACCTCCCCGCCAAAACAGCACCTATTGATCTACTCACATTGTTGTTTTCAAACTGCTAGGTAGGCAGAAGCTGGGGCCGATGGCAGGAGCTCACTTCCAGTCAGCAAGATCTTCTGAAGCTGGTGGTTTAACCCACTGTGCAAGGTAAGGAAGGAAAGGTGGAAAGAAGGAAAAAGGAAGGAGGGAAGGAAGGAAAGAAGTGAGGAATAAAAGTAATAATAATAATAATAATAATTTTTGTTGTGTCAGGAGTGACTTGAGAAACTGCAAGTCGCTTCTGGTGTGAGAGAATTGGCCATCTGCAAGGATGTTGCTCAGGGGACGCCGGATGTTTTGATGTTATTATCATCCTTGTGGGAGGCTTCTCTCATGTCCCCTTTGCATGAGGAGCTGGAGCTGATAGAGGGAGCTCACCCACGCTCTCCCTGGATTTGAATCTATGACTTGTTGGTCTTCAGTCCTGCTGGCACAGGCGTTTAACCCACTGCGCCACCGGGGGCTCCTAATAATACTAATAGTAATAATAATAATAATAATAATAATAATGATAATGAGCTGTATTTGTATCCCGCCAGCCTCTCCCAGCAGAAGGGACTCGGGTGGCTCACAAAAGCACGTGGCCGTGCAGTAAACTATACAAGATACAGTAAAAAATACATAAACAGTCATAAAGCGAATTACGATGTCAATTTATATAAAACAACTATATACAAAACAGCACCTAAACTCCCCCCCCCCCCCAATGTAAATAAGAGACTCAATAAAAGGCAGCCGTGGGGGTGGGTTTTTAAAAGGCCAAATCAGCATCATTCCCAGAAAGTGCCCGAGAGACACAGTTCCCGGGGGGGGGGGGGCTTCCATGCACGCACCCACGCACATGGCCACGGCACCCAGCACCCCCAGGCAGGAAGAGCCTCCCTCCAGATCGGCTTTGACCTGGGTGACGAGCGAGCCCACACTGCCCGGCGTTCCAGTTCAAAGCAGATCCCGAGGGGCTTTCTTCACCTGCGCGGAAGGGGCCCGCCCCCCCCCCCCCAGTTTTAGTTCTGAAGGTTCCATCCTGTTGGAAGGTCGGCCGGAAGAAGCGCCAAGGTCACAAGGCTGTCCAAAAAAACAATGGGGGGGGGGAATGATTTCTTTGTGGAAGGAAGGGAAGGGAAGGAAAGGAAAGGAAAGGAAAGGAAAGGAAAGGAAAGGAAAGGAAAGGAAAGGAAAGGAAAGGAAGGAAAGGAAGGAAGAAGGAAGGAAGGAAGGAAGGAGGGAGGGAGGAGGGAGGGAGGGAAGGAAGGAAGGAAGGAAGGGAAAGAAAAAGGAGAAGGAGGGGAGGGAGGAAGAAAAAAGGAAGAGGGAGGGAGGGAGGAAGAAGAAAAGAAAAGAAGGAGAAGAAGGGGGAAGGAAGGAAAGATGGAGGGAAGTAAAAGAAGGAGGGAAAGAAGGAGGGAAGGAAAAAGGAAGGAAAGAAGGAGAGGAAAGGAGGGAGGAATAAAGCAAGAGGAGAAGGAAGGGAGGAAGGAAAGAAGAAAGAAAAGTAACAGGAAGGAAAGCAAAAGGAAGGAGAAGGGAGGGAAGGAAGGAAAGATGGAAGGAAGTAAAAAGAAGGAGGGAAAGAAGGAGGGAAGGAAAAAGGAAGGAAAGAAGGAGAAGGAAAGGAGGGAAATAAAGCAAGAGAAGGAGAAGGAAGGGAGGGAGGAAAGAAGAAAGAAAAGTAACAGGAAAGAGAAGAAGGGAGCTAAGGAAGGAAAGATGGAAGGAAGTAAAAAAGAAGGGAAAGAAAGATGGAAGGAAGGAAAAGGAAGAAAAAAGAAGGAAAGGAGGGAGTGGAAATAAAGAAAGAAAGAAGGAAAAGGGAGGAAGGAAGGAAAGAAAGAAAACTAAAAGGGAGGAAGGAAGCAAGGAAGGAGAAGAAGGGAAGTAAGGAAGGAAAGATGGAAGGAAGTAAAAAAGGAGGGAAAGAAGGAAGGAAGGAAGGAAGGAGAAAGAAGGAAAGGAGAAGGAAAGGAGGGAGTGAAATAAAGCAAGAGAATGAGAAGGAAGGGAGGAAGGAAAGAAGAAAGAAAAGTAAAAGGAAGGAGAAGGGAGGGAAGGAAGGAAAGATGGAAGGAAAGGAAAGAGGGAAGAAAAGGAAGGAAAAGGAAGGAAGAAGGAGGAAGGAAAGAGAAAGAGAAAGGAAGGAGAAGGAGGAAGGAAGGAAAGAGGAAGGAAGAAAAAAGGAGGAGGAAGGAAAGAGGAAGGAAAAGGAAGGAAAGAAGGAAAAGGAAGGAAAGAGGGAAGGAAGGAAAGAGGGAAGGAGAATGGTAGAAAGGAGGAAGAAGGAAGGAGAAGGAAGGGAAGAAAAAGAAGGAAGGAGAAGGGAGGGAGGAAAGATGGAAGGAAGGAAAAAGGGAAGAGGGAAGGAGAATGGTAGAAAGGAGGAAAAGAAGGAAGGCGAATAAAGGGAAAAGGAAAGAAAGAGGAAGGGCCAAGGTGAGTCGTGGGGCTGGCCGCAGCAGGTGATGCCCGGGGCGGGGGCGGGGGCGGGGGGGGGGCGGGGCGTGTCGGGGCGTGGCGGGTCCCTCTGCGGGGGGCACCCGGGCCCCGCCCCCGCCCCCGCCCTGCCCTCCCTTGATAAGGAGCCGGGCGGCCGAGGCAGGAGAGAGAGAGAGAGAGAGAGGGAGAGGGAGGCGCGCCTGGCTGGCTGGCTGGCTGGCTGCCCTCGGGGAGACCCTTCCCCGCCTTGCCCTGCCTTGCCCTGAGAGCGGGGTCCCGGCATGGAGGGCGCCTCCTGGTGGGCGTCTGCAGCTGCTGCCCCCGCGGCGTGGGGCGGCGGGTGGGGGTCGTGGGGGGCGCCGCTGGTGCTGCTGGGTCTGCCCTTCCTCCTGCTGCTGCTCCTGCTTGGCTGCTTCTCTTCCTCCCGCCCGGGGCTGCCCGCCAAGGGGAGGGCCGTCCTCCTCACCGGTGAGTAGTAGTAGGGAGGGAGGGAGGGAGGGAGGGAGGGGCCCGCCTGGACAGCCTCCTGGGGACCCCCTCCTCCTCCTCTTCTCCCGGTCAAACTTCGCCTTTCCCTCCAGATGTTCTAGGCTCCCACGAACTTAAGTGGCTGGGGGGGGGGGGGGCAGGAATGGTGGGAGTTGGGGTCCAAAACAGCCCCCAGGAAGAAGGAGGGGGGCCTGGTCGAAGAGAATGCCAGCTTCCTGCCTGGCCAGCAGAGGGTCCGGCTGGATGACCTTTCGGGTCCCCTCCAACTCTACGCGCCTAATAATCATAAATAATAATAGGATTTTCATCTTCCCACCTGGAAAAAAAGGGGTCCGGCTGGATGACCTTTACGGTCCCTTCCAATTCTGTGAGTCTAATAATAATAATAATAATAATAATAATAGATAATGATTGATAATATTATAATAGTAATGCCTTCTTCCCAACTGGCAAAAAAAGGGGCAGGCTGGATGACCTTTAAGATCCCTTCCAACTCTATGCATCTAATCATAATAATAGATTATTCTATAATAATACAATAGTAATGCCATCTTCCTTCCTGGCAATAAAGGGGGTCAGGCTGGATGACCTTTAGGGTCTCTCCCCCCCCCCCCAACTCTATGCATCTAATAATCCTGAATAATTATAGGAATCCCATTTTCCTGCCTGGCAAAAAAGGGGTCAGGCTGGATGACCTTTAGGGTCTCAACTCTGAGTCAAATAATAATAATAATAGTAATAGTAATAGTAATAGATAATGATTGATAATATTATAATAGTAATGCCTTCTTCCCAACTGGCAAAAAAGGGGTCAGGTTGGATGACCTTTAGAGTCCCCCCTCCAACTTTATATGCCTAATAATCTTGAATAATGATAGAAATCCCATCTTCCTTCCTGGAAAAAAAAGGGGTCGGGCTGGATAACCTTTAGGGTCCCCTCCAACTCTGTGAGTCAAATAATAATAATAATAATAATAATAATAATAATAATAATAATAGTAATAGATAATGATGGATAATATTATAATAGTAATGCCTTCTTCCCACCTGGCAATAAAGGGGTCAGGCTGGATGACCTTTAGGTTTGTCCCCCCCAACTCTATACATCTAATAATCCTGAATAATGATAGGAATCCCATCTTCCCGCCTGGCAAAAAAGGGTCAGGCTGGATGACCTTTAGGGTTCCCTCCAACTCTATGCATCTAATCATAATAATAGATAATTCTACAATAATACAATAGTAATGTAATGCCATCTTCCTGCCTGGCAAAACTGGGATCGGGCTGGATGATCTTTAGGGCTCCTTCCAACTCTGTGAGTCTAATAATAATAATAATAATAATAATAATAACGATGGGTAATATTATAATTGTAATGCCTTCTTCCCACCTGGTAAAAAGGGATCTGGCTGGATGACCTTTAGGGTCCCTCCCAGCTCTGTGAGTCAAATACAAATAATAGTAATAGTAAGAATGATAGATAATGATGGATAATATTATAATAGTAATGCCTTCCTCCCAACTGGAAAAAAAAGGGATCAGGCTGGATGACCTTTAGGGTCCCCTCCAACTCTATGCGCCTAATAATAACAACAGATAATTCTATAATAATACAATAATAATGCCATCTTCCTGCCTGGCAAAAAAGGGGTTGGGCTGGATGACCTTTAGGGCCCCTTCCAACTCTGTGAGTTGAATAATAATAATAATAGATAGCAGGATTGAAGAGAAACAACTGCAAAAGCTGTCACGACATGAGAATTTAAAGATAGAACTGCAAAGACTCTGGCACAAGCCAGTCAAGGTGGTCCCAGTGGTGATTGGCACACTGGGCGCAGTGCCTAAAGACCTTGGCCTGCACTTAAACACAATTGGCGCTGACAAAATTACCACCTGCCAGCTGCAGAAGGCCACCCTACTTGGATCTGCACGTATTATTCACCAATACATCACATCATCCTTGACACTTGGGAGGGGTCCAACGTGGGATCCAAGACAACAGCCAGCAGAGTGACCTTGTTTGCTGTGGACTCATCTGGTTGCCTTTCAAATAAATAATAATAATAATAATAATAATAATAATAATAATAATAATAATAGGTAGTGATAGATAATACTATAACAGTAATGCTACCTTCTTACCTGGCAAAAGGGGTCAGACTGGATGACCTTTAGGGTCCATTCCAACTCTTTGCATCTAATCATAATAATAGATAAAAGATAATTCTATAATAATACAATAGGAATTGCATCTTCCCGCCTGGCAAAAAAGGGGTCAGGCTGGATGACCTTTAGGATCCCCTCCAACTCTGTGAGTCAAATAATAATAATAATAATAATAATAATAATAATAATAATAATAATAATAGATTGGGGAAAAAATCAACTGCAAAAGCTGACACGATACAAGGATTTACATTGAACTGCAAAGACTCCGGCACAAGCCAGTCAAGGGGGTCCCAGTGGTGATTGGCACACTGGACGCAGTGCCTCAAGACCTTGGCCTGCACTTAAGCACAATCAGCGCTGATAAAATTACCACCTGCCAGCTGCAGAAGGCCACCGTACTTGGATCTGCACGTATTATTCACCAATACATCACATCGTCCTTGACACTTGGGAGGGGTCCAACGTGGGATCCAAGACAACAGCCAGCAGAGTGACCTTGTTTGCTGTGGACTCATCTGGTTGCCTTTCAAATAATAATAATAATAATAATAATAATAATAATAGGTAGTGATAGATAATACTATAACAGCAATGCTACCTTCTTAACTGGCAAAAAGGGGTCAGACTGGATGACCTTTAGGGTCCATTCCAACTCTGTGAGTCAAATAATAGTAATAGTAATAATAATAGATAATGATAGATAATATTTTAATAGTAATGCCATCTTCCTACCTGGCAAAAAGGGATCAGGCTGGATGACCTTTTAGGGTCCCTTCCAACTCTATGAGTCTAATAATAATAATAATAATAATAATAATAATAATAGTTAATTTTATAATAATATATGATAATGTTAACTAATTCTACAGTAGGATGTCCATCTTCCTGCCTGGCCAAACAAGGGGTCAGAATGGATGACCTTTAGGGTTCCTTCCAACTCTAGGAGTCTCCTTCCTTCTCTGGGGGCTTCTAAGCAGAGGCTGGATATGGACATCTGTTGGGAGGGATTGCATGGGTCATCCTGGCAGAAGGGGGTCCAACTGGATGACCTATAGGATCCCTTCCAACTGTGTCAAATAATAATAATAATAATAATGGATAATATTATAATAGTAATGCCATCTTCCTGCCTGTCAAAAAGGGGGCCAGACTGGATGACCTTTAGGGTCCCTTCCAACTCTATGAGTCCAACAACAACAACAACAACGATAGATCATCTATCTATATAAAAATGCTCCTGCCGTCGTGAGTATACATAATACTCATAATAATACAATAGGAATCCCATCTTCCTGCCTGGCCAAAACAAAAGGGTCAGACTGGATGCCCTTTGGGATCCCTTCCAATAATAAGAAATAGTTCTGTAATAATTTATGGTAATGCTGGATAATAATGGCCAAAAAAAGGGTCAGACTGGATGCCCTTTGGGGTCCCTTCCAACTCTATGCATCTAATCATAATAATAGATAATAGGTAATTCTATAATAATACAATAGGAATTGCATCAAATAATAATAATAATAATAATAATAATAATAATAATAATAATAATAATAATAGATACTGATGGGTATTATAACAATAATGCTATCTTACTGCCTGGCAAAAAGGGGGTCCGACTGGATGACCTTTAGGGGCCCTTCCAAAAAAAGAGGTAATTCTATAATAATTTATGGTAATGATGGATAATAATGCAATAGGAATTCCATCTTCCTGCCTGGCCAAAACAAAAGGGTCAGACTGGATGCCCTTTGAGTCCCTTCCAATAATAATGAGATAGTTCTGTAATAATTTATGGTAATGCTGGATAATAATAGCCAAAAAAAAAAGGGTCAGACTGGATGCCCTTTGGGGTCCCTTCCAACTCTAGTGGAATGTAGACTGCTTGGGAGTCTCCTTCCTTCTCTGTAGGCTTCTGAGCAGAGGGTGGATATGGCCATCTGTTGGGAGGGATCGCATGGGGTCATCCTGGTAGGAGGGGGTCCAACTGGATGACCTTTTGTTGAGTGTAATATTAATAGTAGTAGATAATGAGGGATAATAATACAATTTATTTATTTATTGAAAACACTGATATTCTGCCCTTCTCATTCTGGAGAGGACTCAGGGCGGAGCAGCACAGCGTATAGAAGGCAAACATTCAATTCCGGGACAAGAATTCATTATATGCGTACACAAACATTAAAAACATTTATCTCAATATGAAGATATACTGTTTAAAACCAATACGAATTCCAATTCCAAGGGGGTTTGATTGGATGACCTTCAGAGTCCATTCCAACTCAACAAGACCCATAATCATAATAGATAATTCTATAATAATACATGATAATGATGCATAATACTACAATAGAAATTCCACCTTTCTACCTGGCAAAAAGGGGGCTGGACTGGATGACCTTTAGGGTCCCTTCCAACTCTATGAGTCCAACAACAACAACAACAACAACAACAACAGATCATCTATCTATATAAAAATGCTCCTGCCGTCGTGAGTATACATAATACTCCTAATACTACATAATACTACAATAGGAATTCCACCTTCCTGCCTGGCAAAACGAGGGTCGGACTGGATAACCTTTAGGGTCCCTTCCAACTCTATGAGTCCAATAATAATAATAATAATAATAATAATAATAATAATAATAATAATAATAATAATAATAGATCATTCTATAATACTATAATAGGAATTCCACCTTCCTGCCTGGCAAAATGGGGGTCGGACTGGATGAACTTTAGGGCCCCTTCCAACTCTATGAGTCCAATAATAATAATAATAATAATAATAATAATAATAATAATAA